ACCAACTATGAAATAACAACAACAATAATACTCATAATAATAATAATAATAATAAAAAAAGGAACGCGAGCGAGGCCGCGAGGCGGAGCGGGGGGCAGAGGGAGAGACAATGGGCTGGTGGAGAGAGGACCCATCCGGACCGGGGAGACTTTGCGCTCCCAGCGCCTGAGCCGCCCGGGCGGCGAACTCGGAGGGAGAGCGAGGGAGCGAGAAGGGCCGGTGGACGAGAGGAGAAAACCCGGGTGTTTTGTAACTAAAATGAGCGGAGCGCAGCGGCGGCGGCGGCAATAAGCTTATTGCAATTGACAGCGTCTGCAGTTCATTTCAAGATGGCCGCTTGGCTCACATTCATTTTCTGCTGAACGACTTTTAACTTTCATTGTCTTTTTTGGCCGCTCCGATCATCACCCACCGGCTCCGTTTTCCGGGTACGTATGAAGCGAGGTGTCGCCTTACCAAGGGCGGGGGGCGAAGGGGGCTCGGCGGCGGTTTTCGGCCGGTTTGGGGGCTGCAAAGGGGAGCCTAGGTGTCCCCCGAGCTCTCCGTATGGGAAAAGCGCTGACAGGCTGCTCCAGCCACACACACACACATATAGACACGCAGCAGCAGCAGCAGCCTGTGCACTCGCTCGCGTTACGCACCCACATTTGCAAATTTTAGTTCCTTTCTTTCTCCAGACGCCCCCTAAAACCTTTCTGTGCACATGGCCCCCGAGGAGAATATTTATATTTCCAGACCCTGCTGCCAGCCCGGCCTGAGCGCCCTTTGTTTAAAGGCAGATTTTGATTAAACAGGGACGTTCGTGAAATCTGGAGCTGCCTGGGTCAAGTGATTTCAGTCCTCCCCGAAAGAAATGTGTCTGGGGGAGGTTAAAATGTCAGATAACGCACCCATTTTATAGAGATAGAGCCAGCGGGGGGTAGCGATCCTCCTGGAGGGGTTGTTAGGCGTCGGGGCACCCAGCAGAAAATGTTATTAACTTAAGTTGGACAAGTACTTGTGTGAAATTGGATGGGTTGTAAGATGGCGGTTCCCAGTTGTTTCCAATGCCTCCTCTTACATTTCTGCTCTAAATGCTAAAGTTTGGGGGTTTGTGCCTGCTGGGAGAGGAAAGGGGTGGCCGACACCGAGCGATAACTTTTTTTGGGGGTAAGGATAGCAGTTTGGCTGCGGTCTTGGGGAGCTGGGGCGTGCGGTTTGCTGGAGCCTTTGGAGCAAAGGTGATGTGTCTGTGGGACGCAGGGGGTTTGTTGAATTTCTTTTCTCTGATTGGTATTTTTTTTCCTCCTGAGCCCGGGAAGAATAGATTTACATGAAATCCTTTGTCAGATCTTAAAGATGTCACGAGTGGGCTCCTCGTGCTGCTGATGGGCAGCACTGGAAAGTTGCTGGTGTACGTTTTTGTAATTGTATGGCCTTGGCAATATATAACGCGGGATGTTTCTCTGTGTTTACTGTAAATATTTGCATGTAATCAGGTAAAAATAAGCAGAAAAATCGCACTTCTGTAAAAGTGAGACGGTCACTTTTCAGCCTCTAGAAACTTTGATTCCCTCCTCCACTCTCCAGAAAAGTTGAGGAAAACCTGGGCGTGTGTGCCCATTTGCAAGCTTGGCATTAAAAGGATTTTTTGCGTAGTCCGTAGTGGTCAGAGCAACTAATTTTATGGGACTGTCCCAAAGACCAGGGAGATTCTGGAAATGCAGTCCAGTGAAACTACTTTGAGTGGCGTCCTGGAAACTGAGACAGACTTGTGTTGCAGTTTGCCAGAGACACGGAGGGTTGACCTACCTGATCGCTTAGATAGTACAAAATTAACATTTTAGTGTATTTTATAAGTAGGCGGATAGTGTCCTTCACCTAGTTCCAGGGAGGCGATTTAAGGGATCGGGGTCCTTTTGCACTGTATAGCCAATATTCAGGTCTCCCCTCGCTGCAGCGAGCTGGGCACAGATATTTGAGCTCCGTGTGCCTTCTCTGAAAGAAGCACCGTCCCCCCTTTAAAACGTATGTGGCCATTCTTAAGCGAAAGAGTCATAACAGGCTCGATAGTAAAAGTGGCTCTGACTGATAATAGGTGAAGATGTAGAATGACGGCTGCTTTATTCCTGACGAGAGAGTTTTCTGAGAGGAGATGGGTGCAAAGTACACAAACCTACCCGAGCGATGCTTCTATTTTTTATGTATGTATTTTCTGTTAGAGACCTGTCGAGCAAGGTTTGATAGCTATTGCCTTTATAGATTTTTAATAATGTAGCTGATTCTTAGCAGGAGAATGCACTTCTGTTTTTCTTCATTTGGACATAACCCGTTTAAGGCCTCTAAATAATCGGTTGGCTGGCAGTGTTTACTTCTAGCGAGTATTATCTCCGTGTATTTTACGTTTAGTCGTTCCGTGTGTCAATGTGTAAATATATATTGTCCTGGTTAAGAGGCTGTTTGTATTGACTGTGTGAAGTGTTGGTATTCGCCGTGCTATCAGCGCGAGCAGAAAAAAATCCGACAGGGTTTCCCTCGCACCAAAATATTAAGCTCAGGCTGCTGTAGTAAAATGTGCTGCGTTCGTGTTACGTACCCGCAGGCACAGACACGCGTGTGCGTGTGCCTGTACGGGTGGCTTTTGGAGAGAAGTTAGGCGCCTGGTTCAGCTCGCTGGAGAAAATCACTGATTTCAAAGATAGCTCATAGCACGTTGAAAATGTGCTAGCTTTGGGCAATAAATAATCCGCGTTTAGGGGTTGCTTCGACAAAACAGGTTTCACGGTTGAATTTAATCCCCCTCCATTTAGGAAGGGGCTACGCCTGCGTGAAATAAACGCGTTAGTGTCCTGAAAGGTTTGTCCCAGTCTGTCAGGGCTGGGAAGGAATTCTCGGTCAGCCGACTTGCGTGACCTCGGTCACTGCTGGGTTTTTTGGTTCAGATATTTATGAATTATAAGGTAGTGACTTGAACAAATAAAACACAGAACCGTGAAGGCAGCCTGTCCATGTTTGAGTACCCAAAGGGACCTCAGAGTTGCCGGCTTCTGGGCGCTGGGCTCTTCAGAGGGGAGTGCAGAAGCCCGGGCTCTGCCTTTTCTGGGAAGAGCAAACCCTCGGTATCAGTTTAAAAGTAGGAAGCGGAGGGTCAGGGACCCTGGGAGCGACATTTAAATGGCAGTACAACGCAGCGGGGGTCTTGCTTTCCCGCACGGGGCTAGGAACAGCTTTGGGGACCTGGTCTGGCTTGATGCTTCTTGCACTTTGCTTTTCTGTGTGCTGGCCGGCTGTGGTTTGATGCTGGGGAGTTTTATCTGCTGCTCACTCGAGGGTTCTCCTGCAGCAGCAAGAGAAGTTTCCTGGCTAGGGTCGCTCGTTGGCGCTGTGCACACTTCTTGAGGAATATTGTACCCCTGTCCTGGGCAGTTCGGTCGAAATTCAAAGCTTTTAGAAAGCTTGGTGTGTTGTCTTTTTTTTTCGCTAACACCGAAGTTTGCGAGTGGCTGGGGAGAACCTTGCATCTTGGGACTTCTCCAGCTCGCAGGGTGTTGCAGTGAGAGGTGGCTCGCAAGCTCTGCCTCGGGAAGAGTGGGGACCAAGGGTAGGAGCTGGTCTGTTGGGAGCGCTGACGTGGGGAAATTAATAGCTTGCATTGGAGCAACGTTGTTACGTTACGTTTTGCAGGATCTGGTTGACAGAAAATAATTTACTCTGCAATTGACGTGGCTGACAGGGTTTTTTCCCCCGGTGTACTTTCCCCTTTACCTCTTATTCCCTCTCATTTTAAATAGTATGTATGCATCTAACGTTGGTGCCAGTGCATCCGATGGGGGTTTATGCGTTTCAGACTGTGAAAATGACATTTGTTTTTCACTCTCGTCGCTGCATTGTGTTGACAAGGTGTTGATTTAGCTTTAGGAATGATCTGGTCACATGGTCCTTCGCATGTTGTCACTAATGTACCGTTTAAAGTCGGTTTGGGCTTCCCCCCCCCCCCCCCCCGCG